CAGCTAGCTCTCCGGATATCCTGGTGCCCGCCAGTTCTCTGGACGTCCTGGTGCCAGTCAGCTCTCCGGACCTCCTGCTGTTAACCAACTCTACGGACGCCCTGGTGCCAGCCAGCTCTGCGATGGCCGCTGCATAAGCTGGTGAGCGGCCGAGCCTGTCAGCTGTGGCGGCCGGGTGCCTCCGACTGCGGGTGTTGGGGTGCGGGTGCACGGACACGGTTGCGGGTGCGGTAGCACGGCCCGCCGGGCGGGGCACTCACTTCTGGAGGCGAGGAATATCTCGATGGCCGTGTTCTGCAGCAGGTAGCGGCGCGAGAAGATGGCCCGGATCTCCGTGAAGTGCCATTTGCCGTGCACGTGGTCACAGTAGCGTAGCACCTGCAGCAACCGCAGAGACAGTGACATCAGACGTCAGCAGCGCGGGGTCAGCCGTGGGCGATGGCGTGGCGCTTCGCTAGACCGGTGCCTCGTTGACCAAACCCATTAACTACAGGTTTAAGCGATACGAAAACAGCGCAATCATGTCTTGTGAGAAATCCGCAATATATCAAGGCAGTATATTTCCGTCCTAACCTCTTCATGAAAAGATGCTTACATTCGGCAAAATGCTTAAGATTCATGTAAACAAACCTGATATGCAGATGGCATGCACTCTCCACAAATTCGACGTTCGCTAGATTCCATGACATCGTTTGATGGGTTAGCGGTACCACATCAGGGCGTGACATCGAATTCACTCACGACTGAACACAAGCAAGCAAACTACCACCTACCCAAAATTACCTAATACGTCATGTGAATGTTTCCTCACCAACTCAACATCAGCCATAACTCACGCGTGACGTATCAGTACGAGTCCCAACAAGCCACATATGAGTTCGCCGGAGCCCATTTGGTTAAGATGGCGTAGGTGCTAGCAAAATACCGCAGATGCGGTCGTCGAATTCCACAGAAGCTGTGCGGCTGACACATTCGTTAACCAAAACTGACTTATGGACGAGCTCTCTCCAACCCAACCACGCATGCACGGGTCCACTGTCGCGAACGTAACTTCTGAACTGTTCCGGAAATGACCATAAAGCAGCCTGGGGAGCGCTTCCTGACTACACCACCCCTGCACCACACGTGACGGCGGCCGGTGAGCCCACTGCCCGAAGCAGAAGCAGGCCAACCGGCAACGACATGATAGTGCGACGATAGCCGACAACAGTCGACCCATTGCACCACCTGCAACACTAACCAGATCACGCCCGACAGCCGAGTCGTGCGAGAGGGGAGGGGGCACATGCGGGAGGGGGAGTAACGAGCGGCCGTAAATCCTGCGCCGACGAGGTGGCAGCGACGTGCGGAAATGGCGCCATCGACTCGCTCGTAAACCGAGCCGTCATTACCGGCTCCGAGAGCGACGACGCCGAGCGGCGGCGCGGCGGGGCTGATGCATTACACGGCAAGTGCGGCATCGCTGCGAGATGGCCGTAGCCATGACAGATCTGGCATTCTTGGCGAGCCGTCGCTGTACGACACAGCACAGCGACGACGCCACGTATCGTCACGCGGGAGCCGAGCCGACGTCGCCACTCTGATGGCACTGAAGACGGGCGGTCGGCGTCACCAGATGGCAGCGGTGCCGCCCAGCGGAGCTCCACTGTTGGAGGGGTGACGCCGCCGGCCGTCACCAGACGGCAGCCATGCCGCCCAGCGTAGCTCCACTGCTGGAGGGGTGACGCCGCCGGCCGTCACCAGATGGCAGCGGTGCCGCCCAGCGGAGCTCCACTGCCGGAGGGGTGACGCCGCCGGCCGGCACCAGACAGGCAAGCCGTAGCCGGCCGCGAGCGGAGAGCTCCACTGCTGAGGGGGGACGCCGCCGGCCGTCGCCAGACGGCAGCGGTGCCGCCGAGTGGTGCTCCACTGCTGGAGGGGTGACGCCGTCGGCCGTCACCAGACCGGCAGCGGCGACGCCCAACGGAGCTCCGACTGCTGAGTCAGGTGACGCCCGCCGGCCGTCAGCCGCCAGCTGACGCGCAGGGGCGCCACCGGGCGTGATGTCAAGGAGCTGGAGCAGCTGTATGACGCTGCTGCCAAGACTGTTGTCACACACGTCACGTCCGCGTCGTGCCATGGACAAGGTCGAGCCGGGGGATCATCCGTTGCTTGATCGACAACTCAGGGCAGCGCCCGTTTCTGCCCTACTATCTAAACGCGAGCCAAACCCGCGGAGGGGTCAGTCCTGCCACATGCCGATCAGCCGGTCCCAATCCACGCACATATACCCCTGGCCCTTGCGCCAACGGGCCACCCGCCAGGCCATCGCGCCCCCTTCTGCTGGTCAGCATTTTCTGGAGCTCTACAACCAGCCCGGAAAGGCCCGGGTGAGGATCGCACCCCCGGCTCACAGGGCCCACTCTGCTGGGGTGTGGTCCAGTGAGGAGCGACACCACCGGTTCCCGGGCCCACTCTGCTGGGGTGTGGTCCAGTGAGGAGCGACATCCCGGTTTTCCGGGGCCCACTCTGCCAGGGTATGGCCCGACCCGGCCCAGTCCCGCCCGCCCGCTGCAGGCCCGACCCGACGGGTCCGGAGACCGGACGCGGCGGGTCCGTCGAGCGCCGCCCGGCAGGTGGTGGGCGGCCCGGTGCGGCCGGCCGGCGGCGCGTGGCTGGGCGAGCGGGCCCCGTCCGTCCGTCCGTCCGTCGCGGGCCATTAGGGCGCGGCGTTAATTCAGCCGGGCCGGCGCCGATCGAAGCCCGACGACAGGCTGATGTAACGGCCGCCACTTGATGGGATTGGGACCGCCCGCCGGCCGGCCGGCCGGCACGTGTCGCGGTGAGCTGC